AAACATGTCTGATATTGCACCAACAGAACCTCAAGGGACTCAACCATCAACAACTAATTCATAAAATCAGTCATCAACTTCAACATCATAAATAAAAGGCCACAACATCATCTACCTCAACACAAGAAGCACAGGGAACTCAACCATCAAGTACTAATTCATAAGATAAATCATCAACTTCAAAATTATATCATCAACCAACAACAACAACATGGCCAGTAACATGTTACAAATCCAACAAAAACCACCATCAACATGCAACAGTTAGGGTTTCCAAGGCAAACAACAATTAACCAAAATTCAACCAAAAAAATAAATAAATCAGGGTTTAAGAATTTAGGATGCCCAATTAGTTTGGGGGAATGTAGTACTGGGGGTAGTAGATCTGAAGGTAATCCATGTACATATCATCTGGCTCCAGACCTTTAGAGCCCAGATCTAACGCGCTCGCCACCAGATTTGGCCCAGCAGCACTCCCAGCCATCATAGGATGGGACTCAGGTGGCTGAAGCACTTCACCAACAGTGAGCTTAGGCAAGGGCAGACTCCCTAGTCTCAGATCCAGCATCTGGGACCCTTACAGTAGGTTCAGCAGCCACCATAACATCAAAACCATCCTCAGCTGTAGGACTCTTGTTTACCAAACTATAAATACTTGTTAACCTAACTTAATTATTAATCTTTCTTATGAATAATAGCCGTGATTTCCATCCTTCATTCCTAGCAAGCAATAAAGATCTTGTCTTTTAGCCAATATTAATATTCCATCATTGATACACCATCACATCATTACCAAACCCAATTTCCAAATGTAATTCTTTGATGATCAATCTCATAATTATATATATTATCATTACTTTAGAAACCCATTATGGTTTCTCATGTTTTGCGTGGATCGAAGATGGAGTTGCTTTGGTTTTGCGTAGAGTTATAATATTTGGGTGTTAATTCTTGAAAGGTAATCACACTATATCATATAAATTTGGAGACGTTTGTATTATTTTTATTATTAAATGTAATCACACGAATTTATTAATCTTGGAGTTGTATGTTTATAATTTATTGTCTCGTAATCACACAATTTTAATTCTTGGAATTGTTTGATTATAGATTGTTAGTATTGATTGTACTTCGTATTGTTGTGTGTAATGTAGGGTTTCGTAGTGACCCGATACTACGCAAAAGGAAACCCACCAAGACCCGCACCTTAATTAAAGCAATTAAACAAGCATAATTAACTTAATAAAACAAGATTAAGGACAAGAATTATACCTTTGACGCGTGCTTCGCTCCCAAGGAGCTCTTACTTCAAAATCTCGAAAAGACGAGATCTCCGACGGATCGTACCCTCGACCCGACCCGAGCGTCCTAAGTCTTGAAGGTTAGTCAAGACCCGGACAAAATAACTATGAGTTTTACGAATCAAAGGTTTACTCTTTTCTAGAGTTGCCTTTTTAATTCCACTCAAGGTTATCTCAAATCCCAATACCAAGCTTGGTATTTATAGGGAAATGATCCCTTGATTTCCAATCTCCCATCAATGTGGGAGAGTTGGTAAAATGATAATTATTTAATTCCAAAATTAAATAATTAATCAACTCAATCACAAATCGACACATGGCACAAATATAGAGAAAGCCAAGTGAGGACCAAGGCTTGGGGGGAACATTGCCTTGATCCCCAAGGCCATGTATTGGTCCCCACACACCATGCCCAAAACCGGGTCAAGGTGTGCTAGCTGGCTGCCAGCTAGCGTGCCAGCTGGGGCTGCCAGCTAGCGTGCCTTGCTGCCCAGCACCCAGCCAGCCAGCCAGTGCACGCTGCTGCCGGGCAGTGCTGGTGCTACGTGCTGGCGCTGGGCGCTGCTAGCACCTAGTGCTGGCATTAGCCCCAGCAGCCCACGCACTCACTCTTCGCGCCTCACTGCTAGCACAGCCAGCATGCGTGCTGCTAGCGAGCCACGCATGCTGGCCACACTGTCCCCCGCACCATTCGCATACCCCATCGCACACACGCACTAGCACGATGCCTACGCTAGCACTAGCCAGTGCCTAGCACTGCTTGTGCTTGATGCAAGGCATGTGCGCACGTACACGCACTCGCATGCGTGGCGCTGCTGCCTAGCACCCAGCCAGGCATTGCACGCATACGCACCAGCCATGCGCCACGCACCACGCACTGCCAGCCCACACGCATCACATGCGAGGCTGCTTTGTGCGAGGCTAGTGTGCGAGGCTGCGAGTGCCAGGCCCTAGCATCGAGCAGGCGCGCAGCCCCTCGCATGTGCTGCGATGCTTAGTGCTGCCATGCGAAGGCTAGCACTCAAGCACACGCACATGGCGCGCCATTGCCAGGCAGCCAGCCACGCCAGCACCTGGTGCTTGCTAGCTGCTATGGGCTAGCATGCTTGCTAGCTGCTATGGGCTGCCTGGTGCCTGTGTGGCCTGCGATGGCTGCCATGCGCACCTAGGCACCCATGCTAGCTTGCGATGGGCTACTAGGGTGCGCCTAGGCTGCGATGGTGCCTAGCACACCATGGTGCGCCTAGCACACACATGGTGCACCCAAGTTTGCGATGAGCTATCCTAGCCTAGCTATGGCTACGCTCATGCTTGTCGATTGTGATTTTGCGACGCTCGGTATCGACGCCCTAGGCTCGATTTCCGACGTCTGCATTCGTAAAACTCTGTCGACTCATTAAATCCTTTCGGATTAATTCGACGTCTCGGATCGGAGATTCGATTGGGTTCGACCCGAAGGGTTCAGTTAAGATTAAGCTGTAATATCAATTGTATCCTGATATTACTGATCGGAAGCGGCCTCCACCTAGGCATTCCGATCACTTTACCTTACTGAAGAATTACCTCTGTAATAATTCTGAACCCTCTATCGGAATAATACACTTGTTGGAAGGACACCATTCCTTTCATGTAAATTTATAATTTCTTATTTGTATGATCAAGATTTATATATGTGATTAGTGTGTTGTATTATGTGATTTAATTGTTGTATTGATTGATTGTACTATTATTTCTAGGGTTTTTCATGTTGTTGTTATAGGGAGTATTGTTTTGAGGTTTAGGGTTACTAATGCAAAGTATTATTTTGGGTTGAGATTTAATTATATTTGGGAACTAGTATGTTTGCCTTGTAAGTGTTGAGGTATTTTATGAATCGAGTACGTCATGTTATATAATTTGGGAACCTGTGCCATTATTGAGATATTGTTTATTAACCTGTGAATGGTTATTTGATCAAGTATGAGATAAAAAAGGTTGAGAATTATTATTCTGTTTTTGGTTTGAGGCTCGATATTAATTACCTTAGCCCTTGGCATGTTTGTAAGGAGATGATGATCATGAGTTAAGAATGAGGTACAATCTTTATTTATATTTTTTTTATGGTCCCCTACAGTGGGATTTGACCCATTTCGGTCATGGTTAGAGGTGTTTTCTGGTTATTGAGAGTTTTCAAGTTTTTATACTTATTGGTTTGTTATTCGAATTACTCATGTCCAAGGCTAGGTATAGAATAAAGAGCAAGACACATTTATTGGTTAGAGGAGTTAATTGAGTAAAAGTTTGTATTAATATTCGAGGTTAAGTTTGACAAAGACTATTTTCAGAGTATGGGTTATTTTACTCTTTAGGTGAATATGTGTAATGTAGTTTCGAACTACCATGCATTGTTTAAGTGAATTAATTATGTTAATTATTCTATTGTTTTTTTGTATTTTGATCAATGGTGATTACTCAGCTTTTTGCTGACGTGTGTGTGTTGTTTTGTTGTGTTACTTGTGTTTGCGGCCATGTCTTTTTCTTATGGTGGCCCTGCCACGATCTATTTTAGAATTTGTCCTTAATGGTGAGCAGTCAAGTTTGTCTAAACAGGTTGATCAAGTGATCATTGCTAAAGGAGCTCAAGTGTTTCGATAAGTATTTTATAACAAGTTTGTAAAGTTGTATAAATAGCTCACCTGGTTATTGGGTTGTAATTATTGGGATTTTGTAAGCCTTAGCACTTGACAAGTTGTTGAGTGTGGCGGTAATACCTCCGATTTAGGTGTATGCTTCCGCAGTTTTTATTCAAAGGTTGTTTATTTTTCCTTTATTTATTATTTTTTATTAGCTAGTAAATTGGGGGTGTTATATCAGCGGCAGGTTTCTAGACCAGATCTACGGCGGGAGTTGGTGGATCTCCCTTCTTAGATCCAGAATCCTTTGAGGGTTTCTCCTCCTCATTGCTGGAGATATATTCTGTGAGTTTAGCCCCATGAATCTTCCTCCTCGTTATAATGGAAGCACGACGTACTGGTTTCATGATACCAGAACCACAGCGAGGTTTGTACCTCGTAAAAGATGGACGAGGCGAAGAGAGTTTCGTAGCAAAAGAAAAGGACTCGTAGCACTGGAGATCTGGGTTTTCTTCGTCAAAAGAAGCCATGGAGAGAGAGAAGAACAAGTAAAGACAGGGAAAACCCAAAAATGGAAAAGAAAGAGAGGAGAAAACCCATAAATTGACGAGAGAGAAAGAGAGCATTTTGGAGAGAGAGAGAGAGAGAGAGAGTAGTTGGGGTATATGAAGATTTAGGGTTTGGGGGTGGGTTTTTTGGAAAAAAAATTCAGAATTGAATGCACTTAACCATCTTCAACATGAATTGAATGCATTTTTCAATGAAGGTGGTTGGGAGATGGGGGGATTTAAAAGTTTGAGGGTAATTTTGGTGGGAATGGTTAAGATAAGATATGGTGTTAAAGATAATGAAATTAGATTAGAAGTAGTAATAAGGTGGTATAAGAAAAAAGTAAGGATAAAATCGTAATTTTGCAGACAAAAATTTACTTAATAAGGAAAGAAAAAATTTGTTGCAAATAATATGAACCATCCGTTTTAGAAAATTGTTACAAGTAACTTGAATCGAAGATAATATATGAAACGGAGGTAGTACGTAAATAGTGAAAAAAAAAAAAGTCCAATATGTCAATATTTTGAGAGGGAGGGTATATATTTTTTTTCTTTGTCTAAATCACAAACGGTGGGAGTAACTCCTAAATGCAAGGTGGAAGGAAAGTTCATAAATTTGGAGCCAAAATATTTTCCCCAAAATCTAGGTCTTATCGATTTCAGGCAATCGAGGAGGAAGGCTACACCCAGCTCCACTCTGCAATTGAAGGTAACAAATTCCCTGAATTTCCCTGAATTGAGTTCCCCGAGTTTCTGTTGGATGAATGACATGAGTATTAATGGGGTTTCATATTTATATGATTATATCTAATTGAAGTAAAATGTATGAATGATGAAAGTAGTAGGATTTGTGGGTAATTGTAATCAAGTGTATATGAAAATGAAGGGGCCAAATCTTCAGTTACAACTGGAATCTTGTAAATGGAATATTTGAATCACAGTATAGTTTTATTACAACTTTGAATTGTAAAGGCATAATTGAGTGAGACTGTGAGAGTGAATTTTTATTTGATGAAAGAGCTTGAATTGTCTGTGAAGTTGAGATGTGTACTTAAATCTCTGTGACTTTGTTGTTTTGGCAGTAGGGGACCGCGATTTCGTAGTTGCATTTGTGGGTCAAAACAATGGATCAATTATGGTAAGCTTATGCTTATGTTGTGGTTTTAATGTCTTGATAGAATTAATTGCTAAGATTATCCAATGTAATACAGTAGAAGTTAAATTCTGCTGCCTGGAATTACTGGGGTGGGTGGAATCAAATTAAGGAGGTAGGCTTAATTAGCTGATAAATTCTACTCTCTGCCTCATTTATTAGTCGATGATGATTGAATGCTCCTGATTTTGGTTGCCCGATTGTTGGTGATGTGGAAGATGAACAGATTTGATTTGTAAACAATGAATTTCCTTCAGTTATCAGGTAGGCTTATTTACGTGATGGTGACTGAATGTGCGTGTTGATGTGTATAGCCTGTGATAATCCAGGTCTGTTATTTGAATTTTTTATTTTATTTTTACTATATATATATTATCTGTATCATTAGTAGATGTGTATTGAAGAAGACTGCGAGTAGAGTAGAAACTTCAGATGATGCTAGTTTGTGGAATAAACCATATTGCTGAATATATGCTAGTTTGTGATGGATTTGTTGAATTGTTTACAGAGGCAGAAAGTAGGTGTGAATTTAACTTGGAAGACAGCTTTGGTGATGCTGAAACACCAGAAGTTGGGAAAGTGCCCTGGATACACAGAGTTCAAGGATGAGCTGAAGAATGTTATCTATGATAGTTTGGACATGGTGGAGTTTGAACTAAGGTGGAATAAGTGTATTTTGAATTATAAACTCCAAAGTAATCATTGGTTTGCTATACTTTATGCTGAGCGAGAAATGTGGGTTCCTGCAGCAATGAAGGATTTGTTTTGGGCAGGCATGAATACTACCCAAGAGAGCATCCATAGCTTCTTTGATAATTATCTGGGGCCATACACTGGTCTATGTTAATTTGCTGAGAAGTATATTGATGCCATGGAACAAAGAATATCGAGTGAGAAGTTCGCTGATGCTAGTTCGGCTATGAGTTTAAGGGGGCTGGTGACTGATTTTGATTTCGAAAAGGTATTCCAGCAAATTTACACTGATGGGAAGTTTGTTGAAGTACAACTGGAGTGCAAGTGGTTGATGTTCTGTAATGGTATGATTCATAGAAGACTAAATGACAATGTAATTGAGCATCTGGTTGAAGATCGGGTCTATGTTTACTGCAATAATGATAAGAAAGATAGACCAATTGACAAAAGGTGATTGTATAGTGTTTTTTATAACTCAGACACCAAGGAGGTTGAGTGTGAGTGTAAGCTGTTTGAATGCCATGGTATATTGTGCAAGCATTGCTTAAAGGTGTTTGATTTGCAACAAGTTACAGAGGTGCCACAGATATATATATTGGATTGTTGGCGCAAAGATTCGTTCCGCAAACACACAAGGATCCAAGTGGCGTACCATGACATATTAAAGACGAAAGAGATGCTCAGGTTTGATAAAATGATGTTTGCCTTTGAATCTGTTTGTGGTCTGGCTAGTGATACAGAGAAGAGAACCAATATTGTCATTTAGGCACTACATGAATTAGATTTGAAAGTGAAACAAAACATTGGTTCACCTCCTAAGAGCAGCATGGGGGAGTGTAGTGCTGACCTGGAAGCACCCTTTTCAATGTCAATAGACATACTGGTTCATCCTCAGGTGGTAATAACATAAGTGCTCCCAGATCATGAGAGGAATAGAGCGTATACAGGTATGGTTGGCCTGTTTTATTTTGTTGTGCTGATCTTTCAAACACACCCATCAAGTATTGAAGTGGCTTTATTTTGGTTTATTCTCATGACTTTAATGTCTTATCAATGCAATGTCTTACAATGCAGGATGTGTATACTTCTCAGGGTTACCAATTCTTGTGTTTGAGTGGCAAAAGATGGAGAATCCTGACTTTTGCATGGCAATGGGAGTGAAATCTGATCAAAATGGTATACTTGCTACACAAGTTGAAGCTACCGCTCCTGAATTCGAGGTTTTGAAGTCATCAGACATTATCCTTAGTTTTAATGGGGTTGATATTGGAAATGACGGAACAGGTAAAATTTTTATAAATTTTATCCTTCCCTTGACCCTTTCTAGGTTCATTATTGATAAAATTCCTGGTACAGTTCTTGCTGGAAATTGGTCCAAACAACTGTATATTATTTAACTAGACTAGATACATGTGACATTTCACGAACATGTATTGTTGGTATGTTAATTGGCCAAGTTAAGCTATTCCATGTCAGTTTCAATAGTTTACTTCTTCCCCTCTACTTCCCTACTGTCTGTAGAATGTAGAGACTGCATTTGATGTAAATCTTTTATCTGTACTCTGAAATGGCAGTATATTTTCCTGAATAATGTTCCTGTCGAGCTTCTGCACAACCTCCATTGTTTGATGGCACAGTCAAAAGATGATGATCTTCTTGTTATATCTCAAGTTTAGTATTTTCCTCCTGGACATCTCCCTGAAGAAGATATAACAGTTAAACACGACTGCATGAATATGTATCTATTTTGTTTATATTAGAAGCAATTGACTTGAAATCCTTGGATTATGACTTGCATAGAAATGTTTGAAAGTATTTAGAGGAAATTAATGAGAATGAAAATATGCAAATAATTATTTTCATTTTAGATTTTTAGCTTTTGTTCGGTAGTTGCTTAGTAAAGGATTGTATGCACTATTTTTGATGACTGTATTGCATCAACTCTACAATTAACTATCATTTTTTAGTTTATTATTGAGAATTTCCATTTTTTAGTCCGAGCTTCATCCTCATACATCTAATCTACTCCCTCCGTCCCAATAGCAATGTTTGGTGTTGGCATACTTTTTTGTGTAAATAAAAAGTAGAGAAAAATGTAGCTTGGTTAGTGTGGGTTCCAACTTTAGAGAAATAGAAGAGACAAACTTTTACCAAGTGTGCTTTGACAGCTTTGTTGTTCCTAATTTGAGTCACCCCTAAAAGAAAGTTGTAGCAACTAATTTGGGAGGGAGTATTACAGTATATCAACTGTTGTAAATCGGAAAAATAGAATTAGAGAACTGAGGAAGAAGAGAATTTGGATGATTGAGTGTAATTTGATGCCATTAAATCATAAATTGGGCATTCAATTTCAGACCTTTGCGTGGTTGGACACTCCCAACAACAATCTGCGAAGTAAAATTCTGTAAACAATGTTCTGATTATTTTTACCCTCACTGATCTCCTCTGTATTTTCAGCTTTCCTTTTCTCCTTCTTCCTAGATTAGTCTATTACATGAGTTGGCTGAGGCAGGCAGGGTTGCCAAGATATACTCCCAACTAGCCAATGCACACATTTACCTGTTATTGGTACCATTTTATTACCCCGTTTTATAGTTCAGCTAATATTGGCTTTTAATTTTCAGTAAGTAATTTGCTGTTATTTTCAACTTATTGTCATATCACATTGATGGGCCTGAATTATGTTGTCTTTTCTCATTGTTTGGATATGCTAAGTTGCAACATTGTGGAGTTGCAAATTTCATATGTATACGTGGTTGCGAATTTTATATGTATATGCAGTATACCTTATCTTCTTTTATATAGGTTGTTGTGACTGACATCAACATCGGATATGAGGAACTTACTAATGTTCAGGTATGTATTAGCTTCTCATTATAACTTCCTTAGAAATACCTTATGTTTCTGGGGTGGTCTGTAGTTGTTCATGTGAGGTTCCTATGATTTAATTTTCTCTGAAAGGTAGCTTATGTATTCAAATTATTATTATTTTTTTTTTAGGTTCTTGCTGTCAAAAAGAACTTAAAAAGCTTCGCAAGCATCCTGGAGTCCTGCAACGATGGATTTTGAAGTTCGATCTAATGCTCAATATGGTTCAATATGGTCTCTTTTTCTCTCTTTTAAGCTCTCGCATGCATTACACATATACACATTTGGGAGCCATCACAACTGAAAGTAGTTCACAATTGATCATTGTGTTTCTTATGGCAGGTAGTCATTTTTCGGACGGGGACTGCTAAAGCTGCTACAGCAGATTTTCTGGCAACACGCTGCATTCCGTCTGCAATGTCTGATGATCTTAAAACATAAGCGGAAGTCTGAAGCTCGCTTTCCATACATTGGTGATCACTAGTGGTATACTTTTTTACCTGCTTATCATGAATAAACTTACACCCTACCAAATGCCTAGTATACTGTTGTCTATAAGAATTCGGTTTACACACCTCCATCATGAGTCATCACTCATCACAAAAGTGTGATCCATTGTTACTACTGCTTGGTGTACAGCCAAATTAAATAAAGGGTAGTAATCAAATATGTATTTGATATATTTATTGTGCAGAAGTTAATTAATTCACCTTTTTTGAGAGTTAAAAATCGGCCCTGTTTTTATTGAGTATTATTTGAATAAGGTGAAGAGAACATGGCCTAGAACAATCGTCATTCGTTCATATGATTTAGACTTAATTTGACAACTGCAAAACATAATCGATAAATGGTGATTGCCTCGTCCATTTGACATACCTAGGTATGTAAATATGGGTAGATGATTATAGAATAGAAAGCTATGGTGATTGACTGATGATGATTATACCTAATCTATGCTTTCTTTCCAATACCGGCCAAGTATTTCTACACTGCCAATGGCTGTGGAAACATTGACGTAGTAAGCATTAAGGAAAGAACTGTGCTCGTTGTCGTACTAGTTCTTAACAATAAGCATTAAAAAAAGGACGATCTTTATGGTGTCGGAGAAGACTTGTGGTGGTGATAATAGGTTGATGATAGACGCGGTGGTGAAGGTGTTTTTTATGCATACGAAGCTGAATTTCTCGCTTCCTTGGCAATGGAGGATGCAGTATGAAAATCACAAGCAGTGGGTTTCTGCTGCAGAGTATTCTGAAATGACCGTCATACTTTGCTAACTTTTTTTAATTCTTTCACTGGGGTGTTCATAATTAAGGATCAGTAATTACAACTAGTGTCAGTGGGATTAGTAATGTTATTTCGAATATACTACGTAGAATATCTTTTAACTTGAGCTGGCTAGTAAAGAATGCCTGTTCTGAAAATTTAAGTGTAGGTAGGGTGAATGGTACTAGACCAATGAGAATTATTTGGTATCCTGTTAGAAGCTGATACCGCCAGCTACAATTTTCTGCCCCTGACCTTTGTCGCTGATACCGCCAGCTGATACAATAATCTTGTATACTCTATATATTTAAATGGTAGTCTGGAAGATTGATGGAATTGAACATTCTCGAACTGCTGTTGGCGAGGAAGTTTGATTTGGATTCTGGAACTTTGTTATCTTCTCCCCTAGCCCCTTCAATCATTAATTAACCATATAGCTTCCATGTTTCATCTCATCATCTGACTGATTATGTCATTCATGTGCTACTGGTGATGCTTTGGCACTGGTTCAAGTATGCAGCCTTTGTCCGGGACATGATAGCCCTCTCTTTCCTAACTCAAACTCAGCGTTCTTAGTTCCGACCACCATTATCATATTAAGTGGTGAGAGAAATGATCTCCACATGCTCTTTTTGGTATTAGTCTGAAGTTATATAGTCACTTGGGAGTTGGGAAGGGAGGTGCATTGTAGAGAGTGTATAGGAGTTTTGAGAGCTTAATGGGTTGACATCATGGGTGACACACACGTCGAGTTTAGGTAAGACTGGAGGAACTGCCACTTTGTTCAATGTATTTTTGTAGATGTTTTTCTTCTTGTCCTCCAAGAAACAAATCTTGGTTTTTGACAAGCTTTCCATATATATTTGATTTAGGAGCTCAAAGTTTTGTGCCTACATTACTGTCATTTGCTGAGATGGGATGCTAGAGTTATTTGTAGAGTCAATTGATAGCTCATACTCAGTAGACACTTTGAACTACACTTATGAAAGCTGATAACTAACGTATGTTGATAAGATGATTACTCTCCTTCCATTTTAACTCACTATGTCCTCAGATTCAGCCAAAATATCTGTCTGTCCTTAGCATTGAAACTTTAGTAGTGAATGCAAAATTTTGTGACGTGCCTTATGTGGCTGCATCATTTGCTTTTTCACGGTCTCCAATGCACTAGTTTGACCATGAGTATCTTTGGTCGTGCACTCGGGCATTGTTAAAACTCCTCCCCCTTTTGCAGCTTGATGAAGTGTTGCCTGAATTACCCACTTTCAAAAATCTCAGAGAATTGAAGTTGTTGCTTATAGGATTTGGTGTGCGGGAGCACTGTTAACTGTTGTACTGCCTTGCTGAAGAAATGTCCAATCCTGAGAAGACAGTTTTGTAAACGTGCTTGAACTCGAAGGCTTCAGTGGGTCTGAACTCTGAAGAAGTAGCTAAAATTAATTATTTGATAATCGGTTATCTCCCTTTTGTAAGCCTCGTGTGACTGTTCTTCAACTCAAATAAAATTGCTAATCCATCTTAAGCATATGAAGATGATTATGCCTCCAAAAGCCGAGCTCATTGTACTGCCTTAGGGAGTTTTCCAGGTTTTTGAGTTTAGTTTGATGTATACACATGGTATAATTACTCTGTACACTGTATTGTGTATTTGAATTGTCATCATGCAGCATTATACAGAATTTATGTAGTAGATTAAGTTATCATTACATAATCTATGTTACTATGTAGTAGAGTATACTCATGACCAAGTCATGTAGTGCCCATGTGATTTTAGCCGACTACCTAGGCTAACAAGTTTTGTCCAAAAGTAAAGTTAAGAGTTATTACAAATCGTAGAACCCACCAGGGTTATATTTCTATTACTTCATATATTGTTTTCCATAGTTTTAATTCAAAAGATTCTTAATTTCTTAGGGCTTATGAGATTATAAAATACCTTTCATGTACACTGTATTAAAGTAATACTTTTTTTTTTAAAAAAAAGAATAAAATTATGAAGAATAAATAACGTAGATGAGATTTGATCTCAAGTGTTAAATATCACACTCTAAACTTTTTATGGAGTACACCATATGACAAACACATATTGCATAAAAATAAGATTGTGAAAATGAAGATTTCCCTAAGTAAAGTCAAGCAATGGCGAATTGGTAGTAACTAATCTCACTATTATATTGAAAACTTTATAAGATTTCAAATAAGCCAATCAAAATGAAATAGAGGGGGTAAATTCTAATCGTGATAAAAACCTTTAAATCTGTTGTTTAAATATTGGATTATTGTACAAACTATGAGGTACTAAGCTCAAGTCTTTTACTCCTAACAAATTAACAATGCTTGATATTTTTTGAAAGAACAAATTAGAAATATAATACTCGTAGGGTCTATTTCCTTATAATTGGATGAATGTAAAATAAATTCTACTTGTATCAATATCCACAAAGATCTCACTAGTTTAATCCATTCCAATTTCCAAGAATTAAATCAAAAACTAAAAACGAATACTCCAAATTCATCCTCTGATTAAACCCAAGAAATTCTTTGGATTATTTGGGCAAATTGTGACCAACCACCGACCCCAACACACACCTTTGTTCAATGTTCTTACAAGTATTCCATTCCCCCCTTCCCATCATCTCCCATTCAAACACTTCCCTTCCCATCTTTCTCATCATCACCCCTTTCCACTGACTTAAAATATGCACCTTTTTCTTACATTCATCCTCCTCCTCATCGCCACTACCACTACTACCGCTATCCACCATGACTACGTCAAACTCCAACTCATCCACATTAAACCCTTCAAAACCCCTTCCGACATCCTCCTCTTCGACACCCACCGCATTCACTCCCTCCACCACCGCCATTCCCTCAAAACCCCCCTCATCTCCGGCGCCTCAATCGGCTCCGGTCAATACTTCGCCGGAATCACCATCGGAACCCCCCCTCAAAACCTCCTCCTAGTCGCCGACACCGGCAGTGACCTCACTTGGCTCAAATGCTCCGCTTGCCGCACCACAAACTGCACCTCCAATCACCCTCCTAACTCCGCTTTCTTCCCTCGCCTCTCTCTCTCCTTCCGCCCCACTCACTGCTACCACCCATCTTGTCAACTCGTCCCTCACTCGTCAACTCACTGCCCTCGCCCTCACCATCGATACCATTCTTCCTGTGTATATGACTACTCTTACGCTGACGGCTCCACCACCTCGGGCATCTTCTCCAAAGAAACGACGTCGTTTAACTCCAGCTCCGGCAAAACAACCCACGTCCCGAACCTCAGCTTCGGGTGCGGGTTCCAAACCTCAGGTCCTGCAGTCTCCGACTCAGGCTTCGAAGGAGCCAGTGGTGTAATGGGCTTGGGCCGTGGGCCCATCTCATTTACGGCCCAATTAGGTAGACGTTTTGGGAACAAATTCTCTTACTGTTTACAAGACTACACATACTCTCCTCCTCCAACTAGCTACCTTGTGATCGGAGGTGGACACGACGTCGTCTCCACCAATAACAATATGGTTCAATCGACCCCACTTATACATAATACACTCTCGCCCACATTCTACTACATTGGTATTCAATCCGTAACAATCGACGGTGTGAAATTACCAATAAGCCCATCAGTGTGGGCCCTCGATGAGTTCGGTGACGGCGGTACAGTCATCGACTCAGGAACGACATTAACGTTCGTTCCTGAGCCAGCGTACCGTCAAATCCTTACGGTAATGGGGGACCGAGTGAAGTTGCCTAAACTCAGTGAGTTAACTCAGCAATTTGATCTCTGTTTCAATGTGTCTGGAGTGTTTCATACGAGGTTTCCTAGGATGAGTTTCGAACTGGTTGGTGACTCGGCGTTTGACCCGCCGCCTAGGAATTACTTCATCGATGTGGCGGAGGATGTTAAGTGTCTTGCTATTCAGCAAGTTATCTCGCCGTCTGGATTTGCCGTTATTGGTAATCTTATGCAGCAGGGTTACCTGTTTGAGTTTGATAATGACAGCTCACGACTCCTATTTTCACGTAACGGTTGTGGGGGCGGTCCACGTTCGTGATGTCTCGCCCGAAGTTGATCCGGATGAAACTAGAGGTGTTAATTTGAATATTTGGATCGGGTTTATACGAGTTGAAATTTAAATTGGGTTTTTTTCGAGTCAGATCGAATCAGGCTGATCGGGTAAGTTTTTGACACCACTGGGTGGGACGTGGACGGTATAATGTTTGTTTGGTTAAGGCTACCCATTTATTCTAGACGGGTGAATTGTGTGTGGGTATAATGTTTGTTTGGTTAAGTCTACCCATTTATTGTAGATGGGTGGATTGTGGGTGGGTATAATGTTTGTTTTATAAAAGCTGCCCATTTATTGTAGACGGGTGGATTGTGGGTGGGTATAATATTTGTTTGATTAAGGCTACCTATTTATTGTAGACGGGTTCGATTGAGTCCGAATTTTGTACACGTATTATTTATTTATTTATTTATTTTTCCTATAATATGATTAGATTGATTTTGGTCAAGTATATTTGTGTTTCATGGGGTACCTTAATTCAATTATGTATGATTAGATATATGAAAAGAAAGAAGTAAAAAGTTGGGGAGATTGATGTTGGAGGTTTTCGGAGGGTTTAAGCAGAAGTGATGTCGGATTCACATGAAAATACATGTGGCATGTCTTTGTCAGCGGATATGTTGGGGAAAGATTGAAATTGCGAAATTAATTTTGCATTTATTTGGCTACGTTCGTTATTAATGTTGGCGTGATCTATGGCAAATTTGTCACTGGATTTTGATGTTAATATTGTGTTTTTGATTTATGAAAGAAGTTTGCTTCTATGTATTCTATTCTTTCTAACTGTATTACTGTATTGTGAAGTTTTATCACTGTTATCTTGGCTTAACATAGTACGAGGGCATGTAATTATGTAAGCTATAACTCGTATGTTAAGGTTTCGTTTTAATCTTTGTAATGTGCAGTATTTGTCTATTTCATACTCTGTATAGTACTACATATTTACCTATATTGTTATCAGGACTATGTGAATGTTTTTATTAGTTCAAATTACGCAACAATCAGATTGGAGGGAATAATATGGACTGGAGATTGGATTAGCATTAAAAGGTGTAAAATATAGACCGGGTATAGACTAAGCCAATATTACCAATATAGACCGGGTATAGGCTAAGCCAATATTACCATGTTCATTTTCATTATTGTACCAACATGGAGTCTTGCATTGGTCGAAAGTAATAGCCATTGGCAGAAGACTAAGGGTGATCACTAAGCTTTTAATTGAAGAAGTTGCATATTAAGAAGGTGGTTTACAGGTTTGTGGACTGATGCATCTCATTTATATCAGCTATATGGTGTATACGCAATCTTAATAGTACTTTTTGACCAATCACATTTGTGGTCACTAGTTGATACACATTGGAAAAAAACAAAAACAAAATCCTTTGCATTACTACCTCAATTTAATGATCATAAAGGCAGTTCAAATAACACTACAAAAAAATATGACTATTAATTTGGGACAAAGGAAATATTATATAAAAAGGAAGTGTTTTCAATTGACTATAATTCTTCCGTATCGAGCATGAACATACCCTGACCACATGCGTTGTAGGTTTAGATATTCATTAAATGGGCAAAAGATAAAAGAGCTAAAAATGTGAGAAGATCTAGAGGTTTAAAATGGAAGCTTCCTTGTAGGTTCATAATAAATAGTTGGGCATGAATTAGAGGCAGCCTGGGATTTGGAAAACGCAGACAGAATAAGGTGGTCTCCATGTACTTTAAATACTACATCGAGCTGTTAGTAGCAATGTATCATCCACCAAACATCCATTACTACTATCCCAGCTTTCTCTTGTATGAGTATCTGTAAGTGGGCCCTTTTCCCATGCCCTCATCTTCACTTTACTTTGCCCTTCGTTTAAGGACATTCAACAATAGTCATGGGTATTGTTAGGCCACTTCAATTCATCTGGGCCGGTCCATTAGGCCTGTTGTTTATTGTACATTTGGGTAATGATTCAGTTTAGTGAGTCGGGTGTCAGTGGGCTGCTTTGTGTACAGAATGGGTTTAGCCTGCTGGGTATTTTTATGGCCTTTGTCAGTAGGCCCTAACCACCTCCATAATGTATTGCAAAGTACTACTCCCTCTGTTTTTTAAATACTTGTTCCACTTTTTATTTCCAGCCGTTTTTAAATACTTGCTTCATTTTCTTTATTGAAAAGCTTTTACAATATTTAATTCATTTGTCTCAGTTAGTGGATCCAACATAAATCATATTTTATTAATTTTATATTCTCTCTCCTCCAATTCTCTTAATTACTTTTGCTTTTTACAATTTTTTATTTTTCCACTTACCCCACTACCTACATATTTTTTCTCCTAAACTCCGCGCATGGAGAAATGGAGCAAGTATTTAAAAATGGAAGGAGTACTAATTAATAAAATGCCCACCCCTCCCCGTTGTCTAAAATAATAATAATAATAATAATAATAATAATAATAATAATAATAATTAAAAAAAAATGTTTTGTTTCCTACAATCATTTGTTCTTTAATGTTTAATACAGAGTATTTTTCTTTTATCACGTTTGCGAACAAACAAGTTTAACAAATAATATCTTTGATTACCAATCTTTAAAAACTACAAAGAGTTCATATATTGAAAATATGCATTGAAACGATTTGAACAAGATTTTACATTACTATGTTTTATCATAACCGTAACTCATAAAAGCTACCTCTACCTACGTTTCACATTAGTTGCAACTTTGGGGTATTATTTGTGAGATATAAAATATTCCAAAGTTGCAACTAATATAAAACAGAGGTAGTACCTCTGTTTCATTTTTTTTTTTGCAACTTTAGAATATTTTATATCTCACAAATAATAACCCCAAAGTTGCAAAAAACATGAAACGGAGGTCGTATTCAATATAGTTTGTGAATAGTATCAAGGAAAAATTGCATTTTATAATCCCAACTTTCACCCATTTCATTTTATTAATCCCAACTTTGGATTATTCTGCAATCATCCCAACTTTGATATGGTCTATCATTCCTCATACCCAAACCGGTCAACGAAAGTCAATGACCTAATTTTCTAGGTCACTTGACACGTGTCAAGCTGTCAATGGTCCAAAAAAAAAACAATTAACAAAAAAAGAAAAAAAAAAAAAAAAAAAACAAAACCAGCCACCACCAGCCTACAACCACTGGCGGTGGCCCTTTCCTCCACAGCCAACCCTAAACCACTGCCTTCCTAGCCCCAACCCCAAAAACCGCACTAACCCCGCAAAACCGGCCCCCTCTACCTCCCCTCACCCCCTAAACCAGCCATAGCCAAACCCTTGCGCCGAAACCGTCACCCATAAAACCCGAAACCACCCACAACCAAAGCCCACGTCCCTGAAACCATCCCATCCCCACCCCAAACCACCTGTAAACCCTCAAAATCACCTCCCCCACCCCCGAAACCACCTGTAAACCCTCGACATCACCTCCCCCACCCCCCAAAACCACCTAAAAACCGCAGCCCGCTCCCTTTCTCTCTCCTCTAATTGCCGGATAACGCAATCAAGGGGAGTGATGGGAGGGTTTCCGGTGCAAGGAGGGTTTTCGGAAGGTCGGAAAGTGGGGTTGGGGGGTTTCGGCAGGTCGGAAAAGTGGGGTGTAGGTCTCTGAGGAAGTGCGGCCACCAGCCACCCAACGCTGGTGATCTTTGTTTTTTTTTTTTATTTCCTTGTTTTTTGTTTTTTAATTTAAATTAATTTTTTTGTATACTTTTTAACCAATTAGAGTGCAACACGTGTCGTATAAATTGTTTTTTAAAAAAGATTGACCCTTTCTTCAGGTAATCAGTAACCGGACTGAAGAAAGAAAACGCAGGTGAAAGTTGGGATTATTGCATAATAATCCAAAGTTAGGATTAATAAAATAAAATGGGTGAAAGTTGGGATTATAAAATGCAATTTTTCCTAGTATCAAAAGTCAAAATGTGTTAATTTAAAAATTTTAGATGTAGTATACTTTAACAAGGATACTTATAGATTAGAATCTCAAAGTTCCGGTAAAAAAAAAAAAAAAAAAAAAAAAAAAAAAAAAAAAAAAAAAAAAAAATCTCAAAGTTGACTTTTTTTTTAAAAAAGAAATTTTTTAAAATTAATTTATATAGTTGAAGATTGACTAATTTTAAGTTCAGTATACATACAATTTATATCATATGACTCAAAAGCAAAATCTATGAATTTGCTATGAACATCATCTAAATTAGGGGTTAGGGACTTAGGGTTGTAAATGGTATACTACAATATTTCTTATAATTACTTCATAGATTTTTTTTTTTTCATAAATTTTTTGTTTTAGAAATAATTATGAAAAGATAAATTTATCCTATTTTAAATTTCTTACTATTTTATGATAAACATAGTTTCAAGAAATAATATAATTTTATGGCACTGCACCTACCTGTAATTTTTTTTAGTAAAACAATTACTATTCAAGAAAAAAAAACTAACTTTTAGAGATAGAGGAAGGATTATATTAGCCCTCCGACTGCTTCTTATACATGGTTATTTGACCTAAGTTACCAAAATCATACCCTTCTTGTGAGTTGGATAACCAAGCTTAGACAACTTCATTTCACCTTAATTGCATATTTATTATAGCTAAAACAAACTATATTTGACTTCTATTGATTTTTACTTGTATATGGATATGAGCCGCACCTGTCATAAAAAAAAATAAAGTCCATTTTACAAGACCAAAAGATATTTCATTACAAAACTATATGGTAATAAGCTAGAGAAGTAAGTAGCCATAAACCTTATAAAGTATTTAGCTATTCTTTTTTTATATCGTTTATGGGAAAGTGGTGGAACATTATTGAGATATGTTGTTGGAGAAGGACAAAAATTAATCAACATACTCTCTGATGCGACAAGATACAATTAAATTGTCTCAAATCAAACCGAAACTAACGAGTGACTCATCTTGCAAATAAGCCCCCAAACAAACAAAAAGGTCTCTCTCTAACATAACATATATAGGAAAAAACTCACGTGGGATTTCCAAACATAGAGTAATAAGAATGGTAAAAGGTGGTGTTAAGACATACAATTAAGTAGCAATTGTGGCATGCAAGAAACAAAGGCAAAGAGCAATAGAAAAATAAAAAGAAAAAGGGGGGGGGGGGGGGGGGGGGGGGCGGGACTCCGCTCTAGGAGTAGGACAGACGACACATTTGGGTTTGGTAGACACACGCATGGATGTTTTGGTCCCTACCTTTAGCCTTTCTATTACCTTTTCTTTTAACCTTTTCGCTTATCACCCATTTTTTTAAACACCCTTGTTCAAACATTTTATCATAACCTCACTACTACCACTACCATTTCACTTCTCTCCTTTTTTGCGTGGATTTTTCATGACATCACCCCCACTCTGTCATGACGTTTTTTTTTCCCAATCCTTGTTGATTCAAATTATAGCTTGGACAAGTATACCTAGGAGTGTTAATTGACCAAGTGATTCGATCGCAAGTTGAGGGGTATTCAGCTTGACTCAATTATAGAAAACTATCTACTTGTGCTACTCGTTACTTGTTAAGTTTGATAGTACTTTGATCGAGTTGAGTTTTGACAGAGACGAATTCTATTTACTCGCGTTCAACGTACTCAATTTGATAAGCATGTTGCATGTTGCATCCCTATTCCCTAATGAGTAATTACAAATTTTGAGTAATAGCATGAGAATAGTGTACATGTTAAAGCATTGCAACTATTAAGTAATAAAGGGTGTGTAATAATATAAGGAGTAGAAAAAGCGGCAAACACCCAAAAAAAAAACACAAAATTGAAATTTAAACGATCAAGACATAATTCGAATCGCCAAAATGATATATACAATAAGGCCAATAACCTTAATGGTCGTAATTAAAGA